ACAACTTTTACTTAAATGTCACGATCGTGGTAAACATAGTGGGGGCTTTGTGCTGGAATAATGTTATAGGTGTAATTCCAATTTTATTCACTATTACTGCATGAAGCCATGTAACAGGAACAAGGTTACTGGGGAGTTTATATGCAAACAATGTTAAACATGGCTTGATGCATGTCGTGTGTTACCTAGAAGATCTGGTCGAATTGTTTGTCTTAACAGAAAGTATTCTAATGACAACACAATTGTGGGAATGCAGTTTGATTGGTTGGAAAAGACATACTTTAATAACCTAATCCTTTTATCAAGAAATATGCATTTTGTTCACATTCATGAATATGTATTTGAAATTACATGAGTTCTTTTTTTTTTGTAACAACATTCAATGTAATGACATGTAATGATGACTGATGAACTTAATTTCTTAATGAATGCAGTTTTATGATACATGGATTTTTCCTATTTCATGGATGTGTAATGTTTTTTTTAAACTTTCTATGTTATTAATATGCAAGTGTGGAGGAAATATCCTGTCAGGCGCGCCTGACAGGGAGCGCCATGCGGACTTGCCTGTTTGAGAGAGTTCCTGGTAGAATTTTTTGATAAAATGTTGTGAGCATGTTTCTCGTCAAGTCGAGTTTATACATACCAAATTTCATCTCAAAATGCGATCGGGAAGATAGTGAAATAAATTCTTGAAACATACTGCACATTCTGTGCATATATAAAGCGCAATATGTTTCAAGAATTTATTTGACTGCTTTATCCGGTCGAATTTTGAGCTGAAATTTTGTATGTACAAACTAGATGTGATGAAGAAAATGCTAAAACAATTTCATCAAAAAATTCTACCGCGAAGACCCTCAAACAGGCAAGTCCGCACAAAGCTTCCCATCAGGCGCGCCTGACCCGAAAAGGACTCTACAAATGTATAACATATAAAGAAAAGTAGCATCCACATACATAGAATGTGCCAACTTATGCAATGTACTTATGCATATGCATTTAAATACGATTCATTAAAATGAGAAGGCTGACAAAATCTACAATAATCAACCGTAAGGTTTGCTGAAGAGGTGGTTGATCAAGGTATTCATGCAAACATTTGATTTATGAAGGGATAAATCACCTATAATTACACTAAAATGATTGCAATAGAAACGTTTAGGAAAAATTGCATTTTGGGGCTTCTATTATCATATCAATGTGGGCTGAAGTAGATTTCATGATTGATGTGGTGCGGGCTACCCAACCACGCAGTTCCGAAGGCCACTAATTTGGCTGGCAGGGAATCAGGTAACCCTATGTTCAAGTGTCACAACATCTACTTATTGCCCTGGACAAACAATAATTAGGATTGATACAAGTATACATACATATAGCTATATGTATCACATATTAGCTTTATAAACCATTATTAAAAAAGTAATTAAACCAGAATACTTGAACTATTAATAAGTGTTAGCCAACCTTTAAATAAGTATTAAACAAGTATGAAATAAATATAAAAACAGCTTAGTTTTAAAAAAAATGTTAGTTTGAAAGCAGTATTACATTAAATAAGTATTAAAACAAGTATGACACCTTAGTCTAAAAACAAAGTAAGGTTAAAACCAATATTGAAACGAAGTATTAAATAAGTATGACAGACTAGCTTTAAAAACAAAGTGTTGATTTCATCCAAGTCAGTTTAATCATAGGGTTCATATAAGTATGAGAGCGTAGTTTGAAAAACAAATTTAGTTTGAAACCACTATTATTTAAAAAAAATGGACTAAAGTGTTAAAGACAGTAATTAGGATTCATACAGGTAAACATGCACGTATGGCTATATGTATGACATATTAGTTCTAAAAACCAAGTGTTGAATTTATCCAAATAACTTTGATAATAGGGTTCATGTAAGTATGATAGGTTAGTTTAAAAAACAAACTTAGAATGAAACCAATATTAAATTAGTGTTAAAATCAGTATTATACTAAAATAAGTATTAAATAAGAATGACACCAGTATAAATATGTCACGCCCCAGACCGCATCTAAGCGCATGTACAACCGCCGCACATTCAAGTGACGTCACCCGCAAGTCACAATCACGTGATTGTACAAGGCGTCCATGAACATAGTTCATATCATACTCAGTAAGTAAACAAACATAACAACATCACACTTTAGATCGAATGAATTGCGGACATTCAAAAGTTAATCATGGGCCACATAGAGCTTAAAGGACTATCCGTTAATGCCATTCCCGGCCATAAGTGAACCATCGATGTCTAAGAATAGGCTTATATATGACGAATTGCAATAGGATCGTGCCGTCTTACGTGAAGAGCATGAGAAATGCACAAATGCTCTCAATGATCAGCAACATGAGGAATATACAACCATTATGCAATCAGTTAAATCAACCAAAGGCGGTGTATTCTTCGTTTATGCTTACGGGGGCACAGGGAAAATGTTTGTGTGGAAAACAGTGTTTGCTGCATGACACTCAAAAGGGTAAATTGTTCTGAATGTTGCTTCAAGCGGCATTGCGGCTTTACTATTACCTGGTGGCAGAACGGAACATTCAAGATTTGCAATACCAATCAATCCTAATGACAACTCCACTTGCAACATCAAACAAGGGAGTCCACTAGCGCAGTTGATAATTTGGTGCAAGCTTATTATATGGGACGAGGCTCCAACGATGCACACGTATTGTTTCGAAGCTTTAGGCAGAACTTTGCAGGACATCCTCAAATTCACTATCACGCCCCGGACCTACCCGGACACGTCAACTACCGCCATACGGTCCGAATAGTCAACCATAGTCCAACGTATTCGTATCATACTAAGCGTCATGAATATCATTCACATAGTACATCCACAAACAAACATAATGTAAAATATTCATTTAAGCAGATGAAGTAATATAACAAATGTTCAAGCCACATTTGGGAAACTTAGGCATGCAAGCACCCAAATAGTTTATACGAAAATAATATCCATGAGCATTATTAATATTGTTTTAAAATCAGAAACGGAGGAAGCACGAACCAAGTCTTCCCTCCAAGATCTTCCTGAGGCACCGGGCACTGGTAGCAAGCTCTAACTTCTACCTGAAACTGTGATCACGTGTAGGAGTGAAGTCCGAATCGGAGAACTTATGAGTCTCCCGACTGTGGTAACACTTAAGATAGGACCCCAAATGGACCTTAATTGAGTCAAAATATAACTTGGGTTGCCCAATTATTTTCCTTAATGTTAGTTTGCATTTTATTAGACTTCTATAATTATTATGATGACCCAACTAAATATTTGGTAGCTCATTCTCAATACTATGGGCCCGATAAATTAAATAATTTATTTACTCATTCATTAATTAAAACATCATCCTTTTACACACAATTATTCGCTAGGAAATTCAAATACATATTGAATTTTAATTTCAAGTATATCTGGGTACGGTGTCACATTCACCCATTCCTTTAGTTCTCACAAACCTTTTGGAGGGAAAACAATTGTATTCGGAGGAGGCTTTAGACAGATTTTACCAATCATTACAAAAGGTCGTAGACCAGACATAGTCAACACAATGATTAATTCTTCATATCTTTGGCACGAGTGCATTGTATTACATTTAACGAAGAACATGTGATTGCAATCCTTGATAGACGATTACAAATATGAAGATTTGGTAGAGTTTGCAAGGTGGATTGCCATCTTGGGGGATGGTACTGTAGGTGAAGATAATGATGGCTTTGCCGATGTTCAAATTCCTAGCGACATTTTGTTAGAGTGCGGAGACGATCCCATTGCTACAATTGTAAAAAGCACCTATTCGGACTTTGAGAATATTACCAACGACCCGACGTACTTGCAAGAGCGTGCAATCTTGCCTCCAACTCTTGATGTGATCAATTCGATTAATGAATACATGACCTTTTTGAATGTTAACGAAGAATCAAGGACATATTTAAGTTCAGACAACATTTGCATATCAGACTCTAATGCGGATTTTTTGGCAGATTTGCATACTCCAGAATTACTCAACAGAATACGTGCATCTGGAGTTCCTAACCACAAGTTAATCCTCAAGGTTGGTATTCCAATAATGCTTTTAAGAAATATTGATCCTTCAATGGGGATATGCAATGGAACAAGGTTGATTGTTACCCGGCTTGGAAATCACATCCTTGGAGCAAGAATTTTAGGCACGAAATATGTTGGCCTAGAAGTTGTCATTTCAAAGTTAAGTTTAACTCCATCGGATGCAAGAATACCGTTCGAGTTTCAAAGAAGGCAATTTCCTGTCATGGTTTCTTATCTGATGACAATAAATAAGAGTCAGGAACAATCTTTGACCCATGTTGGTCTCTTATTAAAGGAAACCGATGTTTACACATGGTCAATCGTATGTGGCCATATATAGAGTGACAAATTGTAAGAGTTTGAAAATATTGATTTATGATTAAGATGGGGAAATGATTGACCGCACTACAAATGTTGTTTACAAAACGTGTTTCAAAATGTTTAGTCTTCGTAGATCTTATTGTATGCTTCAAATGTTTACAAATAACTCAATAAGTGTTTCGAAATCATATTATATATGCTTCATTTTTTCCTCCTTATCCTAATATATAAATCGTACTAATTATGAGTGATAACTATAGTTTCATTTATAATTATTATTTATTACTTATGTATATTATATGTATATCAATAATATACCCACATGGGTAGCTCAGTTGATCGAGTGGTGGGAAAATTGGACCAAGTGACCAAGGTTCGAAACCCGCAGCGGTCGTGTGGAGGTTACAAAACCTGAGATAAGGTCGGACCTCTGGTGCGCACGTGTATAAGACCTACCACCACTTTGCTGAATGAGTCACCGTGATTAACCTCCGCACCATCCTGTCATGTCGAGGTGAGGAGCCTTGAGTTGGGCATTCAAACTTTTGGACCTAAGTGTATATCAATAATATCACCTACACATCACTAATAAAGTTAACAAATTATACGGACTATATATAGGTGGGCCCGATCAGCCGTAAGTCGCTATTTTCACACTCCGTATTCTACTTGTTTAGACCACCTGCACAGTCGCGCCACCACCATGACCACCGTCGACGGTGCTGCTACTCGAAGGACCACCCCTACTAAAAAACGCCAGCAAAGGAAGAAGAAGAAGATTTCCCAAACCACCACAGAGAAATCCCATCCTCCGATCCGCGATCCCGATAACCAGCTAGCTAAGGTAATCCCATCCCTCGTCTCCACCGCAAATTCCGCCTACTCATTCCTCCTCCGCCACGACCTCCAACTCCTCCCTGACCAATTGCTCTCCCTCGAGTCCCTCCTCGCTTCCACCTCTCTCTCCGTCTCCAATCTATTTTCTCTCCTTTCTCTTCCGCCTCTTCCGCCGGCCATGTCAGTACCCAACGCCCCCAATTCCTCAGACTCCCATTGCTGGTTCCACCGCTTCCTCGCCTCCGCTGATTCCGATTCGGATCCCCGTTGGGTCCATTTCTTCAATCTGACCAAACCCTCCTTTACGCTCCTTCTCCGGCTTCTCAGCTCTTCTATAACTCACATCTTCCCCCTCTCTTCGAGTTATGCCCTAGCCGCCACCCTCCTACGCCTCGCCCACGGCGCCTCCTTCTCCGCTCTCTCTAGACGCTTCGGCATTGACTCTGCCACAGCTTGCCGCGCCTTCTACGCCGTCTGCAAAGCAATCAACGAAAAGCTCAGCTATTTGTTTGAGTTTATGTCGGACATCAATCGGACCATCGTTGGGTTCGGATGGATTTCACTCCCCAACTGCTGTGGAGTTCTTGGACTGGAGAAGTTTGAGTTTGATGATAACGGAAAGTATTTCGTAGTTCAAGCATTGGTGGACTCTGAAGGAAGGTTCTTGGATGTTTCTGCCGGGTGGCCGTGCACCATGAACCCTGGGAACATTTTGAGGCAATCTAAGCTCTTCTCTGGTGTGGAAGAATCAAATGAATACTTAAAGGGACCATCTTTTGAATTGGACGATGGCAAATCAATCCCTCAGTACATATTGGGTGACTCTTGTTTCCCTCTGCTACCTTGGCTTCTCACCCCTTACCCTGGATCAGCTGAAGAAGGCAACTTAAGTCCAGCAGAAGCTGCTTTTAATGCAGTGCATGGCAGGGCGATGAATGTGCTGAGGAAATCCTTTAGGAGGATTAGAATGAGGTGGAAACTTGTGGCTGATAAATGGAAGGGACAATGTGACGAGGCATTTCCGTTCGTTTTTATCTCGTGTTGTTTGTTGCACAATTTTTGTATCAAGTGTAGTGAACCGTTGCCTGATGAAAGTGCTCAATTCTTGAGGAGAAGTGATGAGTTTCCAATGTGCCATGATGTAGAGTTTGATAACAGTGGGAAGAAGACCAGAGATGCACTTGCCTCACTTTTGGTAAATCAGACCACATCAATCCTGTAATCTGAATATATGCTTTTTCCTAGGATGCTTTGTTTTGTGTAGTATGCAGTTTTTTCTGTTTATGGATTCAAGTATTCTAAGAATCTGTTCTCTTTTTGTACATATTTAGTTCCATTTCGTTCGAATGATCTGTTCGGAACTGGCTCTCATTAAAATTGCGAGTGCCTAAGTCCTATTTTCCATAAATATGCAAAAGAAACCAGTTCTCTATTATTATTTTCCATATTTTGTCAATAGAATTTATAAATTATATATGTGCCGCCATGTGATAGCATAAAGGAACATGACAGGCTGAATTTATAACATCTCCAATTTTTGAAATTAAGAACTTCTTGTAATTCCCAATATAGAACCTCTCTCTATAGTAAAGAAAATTGTAAATGGAAAGAACAATGGAGACCATTGAATGAATTGATGTCTTCCCAAAGATTCTTGGAACCACAAAGAGATCGCAACAAATTGCACTTACTAAGTTCTATATTTTCTTACCACTTTCATCCTCCATTAGATATTTTGAGTTAGATAAATTTAACCTTTTGAATTGCTGGGTACCCTTGTGAAGAGACTTGCAAACATGAATTTTTCTTTGATGTTAATTGACCACTTCTGCCATTTTTTGTGGTATATTTGAAAATTTCCCACAGATGAGAAATCTATGCAACATATGATAAGATTCTTTATGACACAGATATCCATGTGAGCGAAGTGGCTAAGCCCAGTAGGGAATAACCTAGTGATCTACTGTCTTTCTAATTTTCTATCCTCCAAGCAGTCAAATATTTGCCCATAGGTAATTAAGCTTTGGGCTTCAAAGAGTAAGTCCTCAATCCTCCCAACCAGAATCTTTATAAAGCTGTTAGAAAAAAATCATTCTGAAAGTTGTCATGCTCTCCTATGTCCTTTAGCTTTTGCACATCATTATTGGTGATTAGTGTCAGCTAGTTTAGCAGTAGCTGCATTTTGTATAATGACCAGTGGAGTTTGTCATAAATTGATGTTTGGTTATACTATGTTACTACATGGCTTTGAGGTTTGGAAAACCTAATATACACAAGTCACTGTTAATGTATATGTGAGCACGTGGCTTATGGAAAAAGATACAAATACTTACTGCTTTTACAATATAATTGTAAGACTTATTATGAATGGTATAAACTATGTTTCTTAGATCTAATGGCCATGGAATCCATTTGAATAGCAAAGGCCGGAAACTGTAAAGAGGAACAGGGTAAACTTGAGACAATCTATGAGTGTACTTGATCTCATATTGACAATCCAATAGGGTTGGACTAGACGTTTGGCTCGGCCTCGTGTCCAAGGCGAAGTGTCCAGCTTATAAAATAGCCTCTCTATCCTTTCCACTATAGATGGGCGGGAGTAGAGATATCCTGTGGCAGCGCAGCAACCCTGCAGTTTTCTGGAGATAGCCTTCCTATAGGAGCACAGATCAATTTGCAAAGAACTGTCTTCTTCCCATGTAGGAGCACACACTGAGATCCATTGCAATTTGCAAAGAACTATCTTCTTCCCATGTATTCCAGTAATCACCTTTGCAAAGATCTATTGCATATCTATTTGTACCTTATATTCTAACTCCTAACATGATGAATCATGTTTTAAATATGGTATGAAACAGTTCAACAAAATTAGAACATATAATGTAAATATCGACTCAAATTTAGAACAAAAATTATATCAACGATTAAACATGGATTAAATATCGACTCAAATTTAGAACAATTTTTTTGATGAAATGTTTTGATCATTTTCTTCATCAAGTCTAGTTTATTCATACCAAATTTCAGCTAAAACTTCAATTGGGAAGACATAGAAGACATCAAGTCTAGCAAATGTAATATTTTTGTATATTTTTATAAATTAACATTTCCTCCCAATTCCCCCATTGAACTATTTCTGAAGAGATATATTGTCATTTTTTGTGTTTTAAACCTGGTCGTTCCCATTCCCCAGCTAGCATTATATGACTTTTCTTATACCAAACTAAAGTTTAGTACTTTGGTGTGTTCTAGGTTTCATCCATTTTCAGAGCCCGTTTAGTGACACTAAAATTGGATGAATTGACTGATTCTACTGAAATTTATGAAGTTCTGGCTGAAGTGGCTGTATTGACTGATTTTGCTGATTCTTGAAAAAATTATATATAAAATATTTGTTATTAATAAAAAATAAAAAATTATATGAAAAATAGTGACGAGCACTTTGTCGTAGTGCGCCAAAATAATTTCAATACTAAGACTTATACGTAGTAAAGCGTAGTAGAGTTCGTATCCACATGGAAATGAATAATTCTCTTTTTAAATGAAACTAGTAATTAAAGGGGGGTTTTGGGGTTGAATGATTTAATTTAATTAAACACTAAGATGAACGACTTATATGAGTTTTAATTCAAAGATAAAAGGGACTTGACTTCGCTACTTTCCGCTTGTTGATATATTTAGTCGATCCTTGTTATGTTTATAACTTATCCCCTCTCGAATACTCAATCGAGGAGTATATTCAATTCATCGAGGGTAGTTATTAACAACGACTGTTCATTAATAACCCTTACTATTAATCAAATATAGAACAACGCCGTATACCGATTTAATAGTAGCATTTAATCTTTCTAACTCCTTGATGAAATCAATTGAGATTGATAACCTCAACACAATGGTTTCGGTTTAACCAACAAAATTAATCTCTCTTAAGTTTATTAACCACGACCGTGCATTAATAATCCGAAGTTACTTACTTGTGAAACCATCAACGATTAACCATCGGTTCGTTGATCGTTTCTAGTAATAATTAATATTGAGATATTGACTAATTGTCATCTTAGCAACACTCCCCAACATTAATATAAAAATAGATTAAGGGAAGAATTTATATTCAAGGAGAGAAGTTAAGAAAATAACTCACAACTTTAATAATCAACAAGCTTCAAGAGAAAAACCAAGAAATGGAAGTTTAGCTCCTCATTTGGAGGCTAAACATGCTAGAAAAATATAAAGAAATGCTATTCTAAACTGAACTTAAGAGTATATGTGAATTCGTAATCAAATGAGAAGGAAAAGGGGTTTATTTATAGGTGTTTGGAGGTGGCAGGGTCATTTACCCGATCGGGTTTTTCAGAAACCCGATCGGGTTTCCTGAGTAATTGCCCGGAATATTCATTAGTCACATCTACCCGATCGGGTAAAAGACAAATCTTTGCCAAATCTTCGCCTTGCACGTTTAATTGCCTCCAAATCAGATTTGATCTTCGGGTCAAGTCAAACCCGATTGGGTTTTTGGAAAACCCGGTCGGGTTTTTGACTATTCTCCCAAATTTTCACTTTCTCTTTTTCCCTTGCACTTTCCTTGACCTTTCGAGGATCCTTTTGATGATCTTTACCTAGTTTAAGCTCAGAAAATCCATAATCTATACAAATTACAAGTAACTAGGAAAAATAAAGTATTACACCAAAAGTGTGTAATTTCCCAAACAACAACAAATAAAACTAGTTAAAATTACAAACATAAACAATAAAAATTTTATACTATCAAACTCCCTCCTACTTAGTTCATTACTCGTCCTCGAGTAAAAGTCCACATAACAGCTCACAATCCATTGAACAGATAATTTCAAAGGAATAAAACGTTCAGTTTGTTCATCCAACCTCAAAATACAAAGAAGAGAGGGTCTTCATGATCTTCAACGACAAATGTTCTTTTCATTGATTGTATCCCAAAAACTCCCAAATGAAATGAGTTTCTGTATAATCTCTGATAAAATTTCCTCTCATTCTGCCTAGGAGCCTTTTCAGGTTTTCATCCTAGCCTCTCTTTTTATTTTCCGTTTTCTCTCAACTCACTCATTTTAGCCACTTTTGCTTAGATTGTCCAATTTTTAGGTTTTCAACCTAACTAGCATTTTTCTTTCTTTTATTTTTTTTTGTTTTTTTTGTGTTTTTAAGAAAATAATGCAAGTTACAAGGTAAAAAATGAGTATATACCAAATGAGTGACTCCCCTCTACTTACTTCGAACATTGTCCCTAGTGCTCCTTGCTTTCATCCTCGCCTTGGTAGTCATGAGTATTTATGTTCTTGAGAAATTGAGATTTTGAGGAGGTTTGGGCTAGTTTTTCAAGTTTAGGGATTGGGGGAGGGTATTGGGTTTCGATTATATGAGAGTGATGACGGAGATGAGGAGATTTTTTTTTTGGTGATGGGTTGGGATGATTTGGAAGAGGGATCGGAATTTTGTGGCTATGGGTCTTGGGGAAGATTAGTTTGAAAGTTGGGGAAGATGGAGCTTGGTCCGAACTAATTTGAGATAAAATTGGGTTAAAAACTGACGTGCCCTTATCGTGAGGTGCACTCAAAATAATTTATCAATACAACACTAATACGTAGTATAGCGAAGTAAGGTTCGTATCCACAGGGAAAGGAATACTTTTCTTCTATATAAATAGTAACAAGGGGTTTTTTAAGTTTGATTTGATTTAATTCAATTAACACTAAGATAAACAACCTATATGAGTTTGATTAATAGATGTGGTGGCTTGGTTTTGCTTTTATCCGCTTAATGAAATGTTCGTCGATCCCGGTTATATCTTTAACTATCTTCCTCTCGAATACTCAATCGAGGAGTATACCCAGTTCATCGAGGGTAGTTATTAATAACGAGATGCGTTCATTAATAAAACTTACTATCGAGTCAATATAGAACAAGCGCCGTATATTAACTTGATAGTAGCAATAAACTTAAGATGAAAAACGATTGAGATTGATAACCTCAACTACACAAGCGGTTTATTGGTTTAATCAATATAATTAATTCCCCTTGGCATATTAACCATGAGATGCATGCATTAATAATCCAAGTTTACTACCGTTGAAAGAACCGGATTAATAACAAGCGTATTAACCGATTGATTCTAGTAATAATTAATATGAGAAACAAAACTAGTTGATACTTTAAGTAATGTTTAAAATATTAACATGAAATATGATTAGGAATTAATTAATACTCAAGGAAGAATATTAAAGAATATGCATCCTACTATGATTAATATCAAAATGTTAACTAATTGTCATCTTAGTAACACTCCCCAATATTAACATAGAGGAAGAAATAACTATTACTATAAACAATGTCAAGATGTTAACTAATTGTCATCTTAGTAACACTCCCCAACTTTGATATAGAAATAGTATTTGAAAGGAAGATTTAATATT